ATGAATTGATGATATAGCATTTTTTTCACGCTGATTTTCTCTTGATGTAGAACTTAATTGCATATTAGATAAGGAATTAATAGCTCGATCAGATGTACCTGAATGATCTAGAAACATTGCAATATCTTTTCTTAATAAGCTGATATGTTTATTTTCAATTCCTGCAAGAAAATAACATAAAAAAAAAAGCCTTTTCTGTCTTTATACAACAGTTTGATCCACAAGACCCCTACTACTTGGATTGATCAACTTTTCAAGCATATTAAAAAATGGTCTAAGATTAGGATCCTTAGACTCCATATCTATTCTGAGTAATTTCCAATCATAAATTGGCAATTTCTTTTCTTTTTTTTCTCTTGCATAAAAAATCTGTGCCATTGATTTTACATTTTCAATAAAATTAATTTCACCAATTCCCTTATCATCTCTTATTTCTGATGTCTTTTGTTTCAAATCAATATCTGTTATCAACTCAAATTCACCATCATGATCAATTTCTATGATCACGATATCATCTAATTTCCTTTGTCTTTTTAAAGTTCCTCTAATATTACCATTTACAATATATTTCATGTAATGTTTATGACAAAACTGTGTAATGTCTAATTACCAAGTAGTATCTAAAGTTTTATGTTGTAAGGCTTTGAGTTTAGCATCTTCTGTAAATCTCTGAAACTTAAATTCAGTTCCTTCTACTCCACATATAACACACAATCCAATAAGTTTCTTTTACAAATACTGCTTTGAAATTTCCATTATAATATTCGGAATTGCTTATTTTAAAATATGTGATTAGCGGGATTATTTTTATTAATATATTGTAAACGACGTCTACGATAATAGTATTGTAGTTTTTTTTATCATTACATAAAACAATTATCAAAATCTAACGCTAATATACTACTTTAAACTATATAAATAGTTACATTACACATTTATTGTGTAACAGCCAATTATGCAAATATCCGGTATGCTGAATTAGAGTTAAGTTTTTTGCTTTTTTTTTTAAAAAAAAATATTCTTTAATTTTTTTTTACCTCTTTTTTTAGTTGTTAAAGTAATAAAGTCCTAGATTAGAGATGGGTTATATTTTTTTTTAAATTTTAAATTAAAATAAATTTTTATTGTAGATGCTAGAAATCTTCAAATATCGATAGATTAGCGTTAGTGATTTTTGTCACTAAAATATTTACTTTTTTGTAAATATCAGAAGCTCAATAGGTAGTTCTATAAGGATGTGATTCTTTTTAATTAAAAGATAAACAAATATAGATTAGATATTATAATCATTAGGTCTAAATATTTTAATTTTAATTATGTTATAATTGATTGATTCTAATTTTATAAACATTTTTTATTTATTATATATTTATATAATTATTTACAAGTATAATATTATATAAAAAATAAAATAGTTTTTTTTGACACTACCAAATTTATAACATGATTTAGGATATGCACTGTATTATATTTTATTTTTATTGTTTAATGTATTATGTTTTATATAATACCTCTATAAACATAATAACATATATCCACAAATTAATCTACAAATTATGAGATGAATTTGCAAAATATTTGCGAATCATTCACAGATAAATTTTATAAATCTGTAATACTTAAAAATTATTCAGATATTTGAATTATCTGAATATATTTATTTGCATAGATTACTATTCACAGATGGCTTCTCTAGTTTGATAACAATTCATAAAGAATTCATATTCACAAGATTTAGCATAAGGTCTTTAAAACAATCTAGATTATAATAATTATAATAAAAATTAGTATATTCAGTAAATTTGAATCACTGAGTTGGATTCATTACTTTAAGATTAAGAACTTGTCGCTTATTTAGTGATAGTCTTGATTTAGCTTGAGATTGTCTTCTAATATTAGTAAAAAATGCAAAGATGATTTTATGGTCTGATTTATACATATCAGTCATATCAAGATATAAATAAAAGAAGTCTGAAATAAGAGATGTAAAAATAGAATCAATATGAGACTGTGTATTATGTGAAAAAAAGTGAATTAGGGTGAATCATAATAAATATCATATAAATTTAAGTAAGATCGAAAATATTTTAATAGAAATTGAATTCCAATGTAAAACTTAGGAATTGTTAATTTGGGACCAATATTTTTCTAAATTTACATTGAAATTTTCTAATAAAATAATTTTAAAATCAGACTTCAGAACATCTTTAATATAATCAATAATTGTCTTATGCAGTTTAAATCATTTTTTTCAGTGTAGAATCTCTTTTAACATGTAGGTAAATCAAAAAAATTCCAAGTTTGATATTATTAGCGAGATAAAGGTCAATATAGATAAATTTATCATAATCCAAAAATGTTTTTAGACATAAATAGCCCATGAACGTTTGATAAAACTATTGATATTAGCATAATACATTTATGCAAATACTCAAAAAAAGGAAAAATTCAAATTATGTTTGTTTTATAGAATTGGTCTAATTTATGACGTATTTCAGTAAGATCTATAAAATCTTTGTTAAAGTCTAAAAAAATATCATTAATTAATTGGTTTTTAAATCACATTGTAAAGAATTAACATTATGTGTGACAAAAGAAATAATAGGTGTTTCTTTAGAATTAGAATTGTTTTCATAAATGTGATTAAGAGAATCATTATTGTTGAAAATATTAATATTATTATTATTATTATTCATGATTTAAGATTAAGAATTGGAAAAGCAATTATTGGAAAATTTATCAGTTAATGTTTAGATCTGGATAAATATAATTTTCATTTAAGTCTTCTGTTCTGCAATAATGGAATTTTGTTCATCAATAGTATTTTGTAATTTTACATAGATTGGGTTAAGACTCAAGTTATAACTTTTATCTGAAGATAATTCGCTAATTCTAGAACATTTAAAATTGTATGAAGAGCTCAATTTGAAAACTATGGGAATAATAAATAGCAGAGTAATTAGAACTAATGGTTTAATAGAGAAAATGTTTGTTAGAATCTTTCTAATTTAAGAATTTGAGCTTCAAGATCAGATATAACTTTCTTCATACTTGAAAGCATATTAAGAATTTGGTCAAGCTTTTTGTTGGTATCATTATTAGAATTGAAATTGTGAATAGAATTGTTTAATGAGTTATGAAAAGCACCTATATCTTGATCTTTCTTATTATTGTTACTAGTAAGAATATTAGTATAAGATAAGTTTAAATCACATAATGAAGAGTAATTTTTCCTATTCTCACTGTTATTAAATCTTTAAGATCAGCTAGTTTAAATTTATTATACAATTTTGAACAGATGAAAGATGAGAGTATAGGCATTTAAGTTCACTTTGATCTTCTTGACTTGACAGGATAATTTGAGATCATTTGATAATAATGTAATCAGGTAAAAAACATTTGTGATATCACTTTAAATTAGTGGAATATCATTGTAGGTTATTTTTACTATATGCATAGTCAATTTTGATAGTATTATTAAGCGTGTTAGAAGAATCAAAATAGAGAATTGTAAAGAATTTTGGTTTATAATTATTTGAACATAAGATATAACATAATTTAGCTTTAATAATAAGAATAATATCTTACAAATTACATACAAATATGCTAAAGGGCAGATTAATCAATTTGATATGAATATTATTTCTAAGTTTAACTTGATCAGAAAAGAGATCTGTTAAATAAACTCTAATATAATTATTGTATAGATAATGTGACTATTATATATAAAATAATTAGATAGCTTGAAAATTATTATATGTATACATGAAGTTAAAATAAAAACCCAAAAGTTGAAATGTTTTGACTTTGGAGGCCAAAGTCAAAATGAAAAGTTGAAATAGTCAAAATAGTCAAAATTACGTCATATCTATACATGAAGTCGAAATAAAAACCCAAAAAGTCGAAATGTTTCAACTTTGGAGGTCAAAGTCGAAATGAAAAGTCGAAATGGTCGAAATTACGTCATATCACA